TCCCATGAAGCATTGCAGGATTGACAGTTACAAGCATGACTCCCAAAGGCAGAGGCATGATGGGACTTGTAGTTTCGCAACAGCTGGAGGGCCGCCAGCTCGACACCCCTAATCTAAGGAGAACACCCTCTCTTCTCAAAACCTACTGGTCCGGCACTATTACATACAGTAGGGCAAAAAAGTATTTAGTCAGCCACCAATTGTGCAAGTTCTCCCACTTAAAAAGATGAGAGGCCTGTAATTGGCAATAAGTATTTGGTCAATATCAAAAGTTCATCTCAATACTTTGTTATATATCCTTTGTTGGCAATGACAGAGGTCAAACGTTTCCTGTAAGTCTTCACAAGGTTGGCACACACGGTTGCTGGTATGTTGGCCCATTCCTCCATGCAGATCTCCTCTAGAGCAGTGATGTTTTGGGCCTGTCGCTGGGCAACACGGACTTTCAACTCACTCCAAAGGTTTTCTACGGGGTTGAGATCTGGAGACTGGCTAGGCCACTCCAGGACCTTGAAATGCTTCTTACGAAGCCACTCCTTTGTTGCCCGGGCGGTATGTTTGGGATCATTGTCATGTTGGAAGACCCAGCCACGTTTCATCTTCAATGCCCTTGCTGATGGAAGAAGGTTTGCACTCAAAATCTCACGATACATGGCCCCATTCATTCTGTCCTGTACATGGATCAGTCATCCATCCAAACAGCCCCAAAGCATGATGTTGCCACCCCCATGCTTCACAGTAGGTATGGTGTTCTTTGGATGCAACTCAGCATTCTCTCTCCTCCAAGCACGAAGAGTTGTGTTTCTACCAAACAGTTCTATTTTGGTTTCATCTGACCATATGACATTCTCCCAATCCTCTTCTGGATCATCCAAATGCTCTCTAACAAACTTCAGATGGGCCCGGACATTTACTGTCTTAAGCAGAGGGACACGTCTGGCACTGCAAGATCTGAGTCCCTGGCGGCGTAGTGTGTTACTGATGGTAGCCTTTGTTACATTGGTCCCAGCTCTCTGCAGGTCATTCACTAGGTCCCCCCGTGTGGTCCTGGGATTTTTGCTTACTGTTCTTGTGATCATTTTGACCCCACGGGGCGAGATCGTGCGTGGAGCCCCAGATCGAGGGAGATTATCAGTGGTCTTGTATGTCTTCCATTTTAATTATTTCTCCCACAGTTGATTTGTTCACACCAAGCTGCTTGCCTATTGCAGATTCAGTCTTCCCAGCCTGGTGCAGGTCTACAATTTTGTTTCTGGTGTCCTTCGACAGCTCTTTGATCTTCACCATAGTGGAGTTTGGAGTGTGACTGTTGAGGTTGTGGACAGGTGTCTTTTATACTGATAACAAGTTCAAACAGGTGCCATTGATACAGGTAATGAGTGCAGGACAGAGGAGCCTCTTAAAGAAGGTCTGCAAGAGCCAGAAATCTTGCTTGTTTGTAGGTGACCAAATACTTATTTTCCACCATAATTTGCAAATAAATTCTTTACAAATCAGCCAATGTGATTGTCTGGATTTTTTTCTCATTTTGTCTCTTCTAGTTGAGGTCTACCTATGATGCTAATTACAGGCCTCTTTCATCTTTTTTAAGAGGGAGAACTTGCACAATTGGAGACTGACTAAATACTTTTTTGCCCCACTGTACCCACTAGCTACAGAAAAAAATCCTACTGGCCAAGGTGTTAAGGCGTGGCTGCGGTGTGGCACCATCTATACTACAGAGTATCCTGGTCTGCATTGACTAGGAATGTCTACTTGTAAATCAGAGCCAGACTTATCAATAGGCAAAGCAGGCCTTTGTCCAGGGCTTGACAAATCCCAGGTGCCAGGTCAACTAGAAATTGCACACTGGTGCCTGGGATTTTGTCAGCCCATTGAAAAGAAAAAAAAAAAAAAACACCCGTCTATGATAGGATAACACTCCTGTATAGTAGTAAAGTCCGTATGTGTCTATAGCTCATCAATTACACTGCAAGGGGGCGGGGTCATTTTGATGACCAATGGCCGCTCTTTGGGAAGATGTCTGCGGCACTGGAGACAACGCTGTACCTTGTGTCCTCTATTGAAGACAGGTAACACATGAGCAGACTTATCCGCTTGGAGGGATCAGCGGACAGATGGCGGGGGTTGTCTGTCCAAAGCTTGGCCTCACTCTGCAGGCTCTACCTCCAGCTTCACGCGGTCACAGTGAGCCCCAGGACGTGAGTAGGTGATGGGTGGAAGGATAGGCCTTCCTGCAATTCTCGCCAACCCAGTTTTCTGTTAATTTAATGTTTTTGGCTTCTGCTCCATGGACCACCACACAGGCTCTCCTCCACTTCTGTGTTCAGCTGCCCATACACATTGTACAATCTCTGAGCAGTCTCCTATAGAGGGGTCTCCGAACTATGGCCCTCCAGGTGTTGAGGAAGTGCAAGTCCCATGAGGCCTTGCAAGACTGTCAGGACCTACCTAAATGATGCTTTGCAATCAGGCAGGCCCTTGCAGCATATCAGTTGCTGGCAGATCTAAGGAGATTGTACAATCCGATTGTATAATGCAGGGGTCTCTAAACTATGGCCATCCAGTAGCTGAGGAACTGCAAGTCCCATGAGGCCTTGAAAGACTGACATCCACAGGCAAGACTCCCAGAGGCATGATGGGACTTACAGTACTTCAATTATATGAGGACCTACTTAAAGGATGCTTTGCAATCAGGCAGGACATCAGTTGCTGGAAGATCTAAGGAGATTGTACAATCCAATTGTATAGTGCAGAGGTCTCCAAAACTATGGCCAACTGCAAGTCCCAAAGACTGACAGCCACAGGCAAGACTCCCAGAGGCATGATGGGACTTGTAGTACTTCAATTATATATGAGGACCTACCTAAATGATGCTTTACAATCAGGCAGGCCCTTGCAGCACATCAGTTGCTGGAAGATCTAAGGAGATTGTACAATGTATAATGTAGATTGTATAACGCAGGGGTCTCCAAAACTATGGCCCTCCAGGTGTTGAGGAACTGCAAGTCCCATGAATCCTTGCAAGACTGTGACAGCCACGGGCAAGAGTGCCAGAGGCATGATGGGACTTGTAGTACTTCATCTGGAGGGCTATAGTTTGGAGGACCCTGGTATAGTGTATGGTGAGCTTTGAAGTGGGACTTCACTGTCCAAGCTTCAGAAAGGAGTGGGCCTGTCCAACACAGACATCACACACGCCTGGAAACGCGTTGCGCATTCTTGCCTCCTGACTTTTTTTTGTTGAACGGGCTCATAGATTCACAGCAAACTTGTCAAGCCCTGCCTTTGACTCCTAGAGGCATGATGGGACTTGTAGTACTTCAGCATCTGGAGGTCCATAGTTTGGAGACCCCTGAACTAGAGCAATCAAGGTCGTATATGGCTAGTCTAACCTGGCCGCCTTCACTGTATCAAGCCCTGCCTTTGACTCCCAGAGGCATGATGGGACTTGTAGTACTTCAACATCTGGAGGGCCATAGTTTGGAGACCCCTGGTATAGTGTAAGGTGAGCTTTGAAGTGGGACCTCACTGTCCAAACTTGAGAAAGGAGTGCGCCTGTCCAACACAGACATCACGCATGCTTGGAAACGCATTGCGCAATCTTGCCATCACCTAATGATGTGCACAATGATGTTAGGGTGGATGTGGGATTCTTGACATCTGATGTATTGGGGGTGGGGTGCTTTGGACATCTAGTCTTACAGATACAACTGGCCCTTTGAGGGCAACCGTGATGGAATGGACTTCAACACCTCTGGCTTAGATGGTGCTAGGGGCAAAGGAGACACTGGGGTCTATCAGACCCCTAATGTCTCCATAAAGAGCACCTGTCCAATGCTATCACCATAGGGGTTTATTAACCCCTTGTGATAGCAATCAAGGAAAAATAAATAGAAAAGTTTTAGAAATGAAAATATAATGAAAAAACAAAAATTGCCATAACCCCCGTTGCCCAACACACCTGCACAGACGCATGCCCAGGGCGTGCATGCAAACCGCGGTCGCACCACACACGTGACATATCACCACGAACGTCAGAATGAGAACAATAATTCTAGCACAAGAGCTGCTAGCAAACTCTAAACCAATGAGCTGTAAACATTTTTAAAGCGTGACCTATGGCGATTTTTTGGGTAATTTTTGGCAATATCGAGAGCACACGCAATTTTAAGACATGGAATGTTTGGTATCTCTCTACTCGATGCAATCTCACCTTTTATATTTTAACCAAAAATGGGCATTCTATTGTGTTTTTTGCACTAGAATTCATTTTATATTTTTTTCCTGACAAACCCGTGTGAAGCAGGCTTTTGTAGGGATTCACTGAACAAACAGATGTCAACATTGGTGGTTTCCTCTTTGGTGGCCTTTCCTCATTCTACAGCAGATGAAGGACAAAGTTAGGAGATTTGATTTGTAAGGAGAAGCTGCTATAACCTACTTAAGATTTCTTACACCTTTTTCTAGTTTCACAGCCCTAATTCAGTATACGATACCCTGACAAAATCCATGGCTGCCCCACACCCTTGAATTGCTACAACTGGGAAGCTTTCTACCTTGATTTGATAGTATCACAGCCCTGACCCAGCATACGACACGCTGACGAAGTCCATGGCTGCCCCACACCCTTGCATTGCTACAACGGGGAAGCTTTCTACCTTGGTTTGGTAGTATCACAGCCCTAACCCAGTATACGACACCCTGATGAAGTCCATGGCTGCCCCACACCCTTGCACTGCTACAACGGGGAAGCTTTCTACCTTGGTTTGGACAAGCTCTGCTATTACATGGTTAGAAACACCGAGGTTCAACAACTAAAATTTAGTGTTTCTGAAAGTATGACGGAGCTATGCTACTTGGCGCATTTTCCTACACAGAAGAGTCCTCCTTTATATTAGTCACCTCGTTAACCAGGCTTATAAAACACAAAACTTTCCTTCAAGTGGACGGACTGATGCCTCTGAAGCGCCGAGTTGCAGGAAAAACCTTTGCGGCACACGGGGCAGACGTAAGGTCTGTTGCCGCTGTGAATCCTCTGGTGTCGGACGAGGGCTGACTTGAAGGAAAAGCATTTGCCGCATTCCGTGCAGGAGTACGGCTGCTCCCCCGTGTGAACCCGAATGTGCCGGGCCAACTCTGAATGGCAGCTGAAGCCCTTGCCGCAGTCTGGGCAAGCGTAGAGGACGTTGCCCTGGTGGATGACCCTGTGGTGCAAGGACAGGCTTGACTTTCGGTTGAAAAACTTCCCGCATTCTGGGCAGGCGTACTGGTTGGCGCTCGAATGGCTTTGCTGGTGCTGCAGAAAGATGTCCTTGCCGTCGAAAACCTCCCCGCACTCAGTGCAGGAGAAGAGCTCGTCGATCTGGCGCACGATGATGTCCGAATCCCCATCGAAGCTGGCCTCCATATCAGGAGCTAGATCAGGCTTGCTGTTCAGGTGGACCTCCTGGTGCAGAAGTAGGTTGGCTTTGGACAAGAAGCTCTTCCCACACGTGGGGCAATCGAACTGCTTTGAGTGGGTTTTTTGGTGGGTGACAAGGCCCGACTTGCTTAGGAAGTTCCTTCCACACTCCGCGCATGTGTAGGGGTTCTTAAAGTGGATCAGCTGGTGGGTAGACAGCTCCAACTTGCCGTCAAAATTTTCTCCGCAGTAGTGGCACCGAAAGGGCTCATTTTGGACCAGGCGGGAGTACAGCACTGAGTCCGGGTCAAAAGGCACGTCGTAGGTGGTCTTGGCATTGAAGTGGCCCTCCATGTGATCGCCAAGATCCGACTCTGTGAAGAAACACTTGCCACAGACAGAGCAGATAAAGGCTTGGGACACCGTGTGGGTCAGCTGGTGCTTAGAAAGTTCGGAGTCACTCATGAAACATTTCCCACACTGCCGGCACTCGTAGGTCCTCGTACTCTCTGGCTTTTCAACCAGTAAACAGTGTTTATATGACCCGTTGTGGGTTTTTGAAGATTTCAGACCACCATTATGTCTCTTAGGAAGGCCCATTCTTCCATGTACAACTGGCTTGTTCTGTACCTTATTGAAGCTGCAATCCCTGGGGTCCTGCTCGGTAGATATCAGGATTTTGGTGATGATGACATCATCATCTTCTGGTGGTTCCTCCTTGATGTTCGTGGCTGGACATACTATTGGACCAGGCGGTGTACAGCTCCTGTTTTCTACGAGGCCTTTTTCCTCATGTGAGGTACTCTCTGAGACCATGTTAGAATTTCCACCAGGTTCAAGTGACTTCAGGGTTTGGTCATCATTTGTGTGTTCCAAGATGTGGGCCTCAACATCTTCAGAGGTTTCAGTGGCCGGAAGTAATTCTAAAAGGAAAAAATGGGACATACAGTTGTGTTCAAAATAATAGCAGTCAGACATCACTAACCTGATCAATCACTGTTTTTGGTAGAAATGATATTTCTACATGGCAAATAATTTACTAACAGGTGTAGTAGAGTAATAGAAATCCAACAGACCCAACAGTCATGACATGCATGCTGCTGATTCTGTGTCATTGAATCACTCATTGAAAGGGGCATGTTCAAAATAATAGCAGTGTGGAATTCTATTAGTGAGGTCATTCATTCTTTGAAAAACAGGTGGCAATTATTGCCCTTATTTAAGGAAGGAAGGCAGCAAATGTTGTACATGCTAGTTACAGTGCATTTCTCTCTGAAATTCTGAGGAAAATGGGTCGTTCCAGACATTGTTCAGAAGAACAGCGTACCTTGATTAAAAAAAGTTGATTGGAGAGGGGAAAACATATAAAGAAGTGCAGAAAATGATAGGCTGCTCAGCTAAAATGATCGCAAATGCTTTAAAATGGCAACCAAAACCTGAAAGATGTGGAAGAAAGCGAAAAACTACCATTCAAATGGATAGAAGAATAGCCAAAATGGCAAGGACTCAGCCAACAATCAGCTCCAGGAAGATGAAAGAAGGTCTAAAGTTACCTGTGAGTACTGTTACAATTAGAAGACGCCTATGTGAAGCCAAGCTATCTGCAAGAAGCCCCCGCAAAGTCACACTGTTAAAAAAAAGACATGTGCCAAAAAGGACACTGACTGGCCTAAAGAAAAATGGCGCAACATTTTGTGGACTGATGAAAGTAAGATTGTCCTTTTTGGGTCTAGTGGCCGGAGGCAGTTTGTCAGACAACCCCCAAACACTGAATTCAAGCCACAGTACACTGTGAAGACAGTGAAGCATGGTTGCGCAAGCATCATGATATGGGGATGTTTCTCATACTACGGTGTTGGGCCTATTTATCGCATACCAGGGATCATGGATCAGTTTGAATACATCAGAATACTTGAAGAGGTCATGCTGCCTTATGCTGAAGAGGAAATGCCCTTGAAATGGGTGTGCCAACAAGATGATGACCCCAAATACACCAGTAAACGTGCAACATCTTGGTTCCAGACCAACAAGATTGATATGGAGTGGCCAGCCCAATCCCCGGATCTTAATCCAATAGAAAACCTGTGGGGTGACATCAAAAATGCAGTTTCTGAGGCAAAACCAAGAAATAGAGAACTGTGGAATGTAGTTGTCAGGAATCTAGGAGTGACCAGCAAGGTGTGGACTGACACAGGGAAATGCAGGTTTCAGGTATAGTATAATAACACAGTTTATTATTAGCCACCCAGAGATATATATATATATATATATATATATATATATATAAATAAACGCACAGTGAGCAAACCAACCTTCCACTAATCTTAGGAGGTGCAGGAATACAGGCATAGTCAGGGCTGGAGAGGTGGAATGGTCAGGCCGGCCGTAGGGTTCTGTAATGACCGTTTGGTGGTACATCTAGCGGTCCTCAGGACAGGATTCCCCAGGGCGCGGAGTCTAAGTCCCAGTCTGCTTATTCACCAGGGCCCCTGATGGTGGGGATGGACTTGGAGCAGACAGGAACCAGGTCGCGGCCCCTGAGTACACCTGCTAGTGGTAGAGGGATCCGCCAGAGGTATGTGCAGGTAGAAAGCCTGATGTGAAGAGGCAGAAGGTGTGAGCAGGGATGGCTGGATCCGTGCAGGATGGATGGATGGCAGAGTAGTTAGCGTGGTCAGACGGGCCAGGTCAGCAATGTGCGGGCAGCAAGGTACCAAAGGAGTAGGCAGAGAATCATCAGGGTCACAAGCTGGGTTCAGTAACTCACGGGCAGCGCGGTACAGGGGATCAGGCAGAAGGATGGTCAGGCAAGCTAGGGGTTCAACAGGAGACGGTCAGCAGAGGTCAGGATCAAGCAGGGTCAGCAACGAAGCAGGAACACAGGATACCAGGTACAGAGGCTCATGGGAAAACATACACCAAGGCCCAGATCACAGGCCTGGTCATGCCTTAAATACACCTTTCTGCAATCAGCCCCAGGTTTGGCTGATTGCAGAAGTGAGCTTCTAGCTGCTGAGAGCACCCGCTGGTCAGCCCTGGTACTGCAGCCCATACGGCAGGTGAGTCCCACCACCAGTGCTGAGTCCATTCCTGACAGTAGTCCAATCATCCTGGGCTGGAATACCTGTTCACAGGTGCCAGACGTTGGTTGACTCCATGCAACACAGATGTACAGCAGTTCTCAGAAACAGTGCTTATACAACTAAATAAAAATTAAGTGATTCAAAGGAAAGCAAAATCTTTCAAACATTTTTCAGTTTATATAGTGAATGTTTGAGTTTGTAAAGAAGAATACAAACACTGCTATTTTTTTGAACAGTCTAATATTCACTTTTCTTCAAATTTTTGGAGGAACAGCACAAATTTGATATATTTCTCTTCATGTTTTGATTTGGAATATAATGTGTAGTGTTTCCAATGCATTTGTGTGTATGGAAATAAAAGCTATTAGAAGGATTTTGAGCTTTATTCACTTTTTTCAACACACTGCTATTATTTTGAACACAACTGTATTAGCGCGCAATGTTATTATAAACCTGGACACACAAACACCACCAAAAATATGTCTCCTCTTACCCGGTGATGTGAGGGGCGGCCGATCCTCCATGATGACGTCCTTGTAGAGATCCTTGTGTCCTTCTAAATACTCCCACTCCTCCATGGAGAAATAGACAGTGACATCCTGACACCTTATAGGAACCTGACACACACAATGATACAGTCACCATCCAGACACATCCCTGGTCTGTTACTGGAGAATGTCCCAGAATTCCCGGCACCGCTCACCTCTCCTGTCAGCAGATCAATGATCTTCTGGGTGACCTCTAGAATCTTGTTGTCGTTGTTTCTCTCCAGGAACAGGGAGGGAGGTGGGGGATCACTGGGCTTCTTTATTGGTCCATAATCCTAAATAAGGAGATAAAAAGTATTGTGCATCGTATTACCCTCCCAGAATCCTCCTCACCTCTCTGGTCAGTTGTGTAATGTATTCGTTTTCTATTAGACCCCAAATCTCTGCTCTGCCCTCCAAACCAGCCAATCAAACTGAGACCGGTTTGATTGGCAGCTATACTAGCCAGTAATGACCGATAAACCATAAAATGACAAATTTCATTGTCGCTTCTGGTTTCATACACCATAGAGACGTTTAGAAAATGTAAGCTTCGCCTTCATCTCCATGGTCAGCCAGCCATGATCCAGCTATCACCTCAAGGACGTATACACAGGATGTTAATAGAGATAGGAGTGATGTCATTTGACCTCCCAGAATCTTCCTCACCTCTCTGGTCAGGTCTGTTTTATTAATAGAGATGAGAGTGACATCATGTGACCTCCCAGAATCCTCCTCACCTCTCCGGTCAGCAGGTAGATGATATCCAGGGAGAGCCGTATGATCCTCTCAGTCACGTGACCCCGTTCTGTCTCTGCGATCGGTCGCTCTAATGCAGATTCTTTCATCTTTCCGGTGACTTTTTTTTTTACGACATAGAAAATGGATTCCAAACCTATAAATTCAGCCCTGTGAGGAGGACAAATGTGAGATCAATAATCAGAGGAACAATAATGACAGCGGAGTGTTATGAAGAAGTATGGATATTATGACATCATATGTTCTATTACGTATAATAACAACAATAATACATATTCATGTTATTCTATCCTGTACTATTATATGATCTTCTATGAGGTATGACAATGACAATTAATAAAATGTATACTAAACAAATATATAAAGTAATAAGGTATAATAACCGCCAGTCACCCACAATGGGAACAATGAGTCCCGTGCTGCCCCTCTGCCTCCCCTCCATTAACTGACACACTGCCCAGTCCGCCTCCTCTGAGCTACAAAACACACCGGATATCCGGTGGGAGGGAATGAACCGGAAGCGGAAGTAGAGCATGAAGCCAGGAAAGAAGGTGGAGTAGTGAGCGCTGTGCTTGCGTGACCACGCCTGCCACGGATCAGGTTCGGCTCCGCCTCTAGAAGGATTGATCTGCACCTAAAACGACTCAGGCCATGCCCAGATGTACATCTGGTGCCGCCCTCCCCCATAGGTGGCTGTGCAGAGGAGATGGGAAGCAGCAGGCTCTATGCAGAGATCTGGGCTCCTTCAATCCCAGTAAGGGTGGGGGGGGGGGGGGGGTCATCTTCATCTTGTCATGCTCATCACTCCTGCCTCCTTATGGGGGGTCATCTTCATCCTGCCATGCTCATCCGTCCTGCCTCTTTATAGGGGGTATCTTCATCCTGTCATGCTCATCCCTCCTGCCTCTTTATGGGGGGGGGGGGTCATCTTGTCATGCTCATCCCTCTTGCCTCTTTATGGGGGGGTATCTTCATCCTGCCAAGCTCATCCCTCCTGCCTCTTTATGGGGGGTCACCTTGTCATGCTCATCCCTCCTGCCTCTTTATGGGGGGGGGGGATCTTCATCCTGCCATGCTCATCCCTCCTGCCTGTTTATGGGGGGTTATCTTTATCCTGTCATAATATTCCCTCCTGCCT